GATCGGCGATAAGTCCGGGCTGTTATGGCCATTCGATTGTAGGGATGCTTTTCGCAAGTAGCCACGTCTTCGTTGTCCTTGCAGTATGGCAAGAAGCACCAACCTGTTGAAAAATGAAGGAATCTTGATGCTTAAGTGACGAAATAGAGGGCAGTGAATTCTCTTCCAAAAGGTTTTGATACCTTGCAGCATTGATAGAACCATCCACAAACTGCATACCACCAACACCTTGTGCAGACATGTAGCCCCATATCATAAGAGAAACAAAAAAAATTCACAAACCAAAAATCCTAATTATAATATTAAGTTCTAATTTACGTTAGAATAATAAAACTTCTGTTGCCGACATTAAAATATAAGATTTACATACAGGTACTTTAAAATTATGGTACCTTTAGTAAAATGTTTAAAATACTTAAACATTGAATACCTGCGTAGGTAGTGTAAGTATCAATCTATTGCGTGAAATATACTACAATACGTTACAAAAAAAACAACCTACCCTAACCAGAGTTAAATTACTTAAATATCTAGAATGTTATGAGCAATTGGCTTTTAGGTTTAAAAATTAAAACTTCTGTTTTGAAAATTAAAATGATTTATTACTTTAAATTTTTTTAGTTAAAGTAAAGTGTTAAAAATACCTATTTAATTAAATGTACCTGGACACCTATTAGGTATATATTATGTATCTCAATAAAAATTACGTTAATGTTTCTTCATTAGACGACCCTGCCCGAACGAAACCGATGTCGATCGATAACGTCACATCACACGCACAGAAGTATTAGATATATATCTACTCGTATCAAGACTAGTTGACCTACGGTACTTCCCCCGTATTTTGCAACATTTTTAATTGATACTCAGTTCCAGAAACAAATAAAAAAAAACATTTTGTTGTGGCCCGAATTATGAATCGAAACCATTCTCGAATCCACTTGAGCGTTTATAGGGGGCCTTGCTGGGGTCAGTCTCCCCAACAGAACCACGATTGTATTTTAAAAACTAGGGCACCTAGCAAAGACGTTTACTCCCTAATTTAGTGGCTAATTTGTCGAAATCAGTCGCCAAATATCAGAACATGTCAGTCACTGGTTCAAAAGTTATAAGCGTTTATAGGCCCTGCTTGGAATAATCTCCCCTGCTTGGTCACGTTTATATCTCAAAAAGTAGGACACCTAGCGAACATCTCTTTTATCGATGCTCTATTAAGACTTTTACCTCAGATAAATAGGTCTACCCAAGGATATAGGGATACTGAACTAAATATCAAATTCAATTTATAAAAAAATAGATTTAATTCACATTATTTTATGCTTATCATTAAATTTATTATTTAACAACTCTTAAACATATAAAAGTGTACTTTACAGTTTAAAAAAAACAATCAGGAGTGCCTTGGCACTCTATGTGTAAAGTTAAGACCTACAGTTTAACATTAATACTAAAGTCAAAAAAGAAACAACATAAAAAATGCAGAATTTAATATTCTTAGTCAATAAACCTTCAGGCCATCAATTTTTCATTCAATATCACAACTAACATCATCCAAATATCTTTAATACATAATAATATATTGCTGCTTATTTCTCACGTATAACGTAGCACAGGCTGGTGTAAGAAAAAATAAAGAATATTGCTGATTTATTGGAACAAAAACAATACATAACCAACATAACTGTTCAAATATAAAAACCAATTTGAATTTATTTCGCCTTCGCACTAATCAGTATGCACTTGCGGCCTGCTTCTTCACTTACTTTGAGTATTGTTGAGACACTAACTGTAAACATCAACATAAAACTCATATCACAATATTGTGTGAGCGCATAAAAATTATGAACTGTGATATTCAAGTCAACACACTACGCTGGTTTACATGAAGTAATTAGTTTTATACCAACGAGAGCTTCATGCTAAGTGCTGCATCAGGTGAATTAAGTTAAGTAACGAACTTCGTACGGAGAATCAGTATGCGGAAGTGGAAGTGGGCCGGTCATGCCTCCAGGCGAACTTATGTCGCTGGAGCCGACATGTGCTAGATTGGAAATCGCGATAGGCAAACGTAATACGGCGCCCTATGGCACGATGGACCGACGACTTCATGAAAATGGCTGGCAGCAGATGGATGCTGACTGCCCAAGATCGGGATGGTATGTCCTTGAGGGAGGTCTTCGTCCAGCAGTGGACGGAGATAGGCAGATGATGATCAAATGTTTAAACCTCGCTTTCGTCCAACACAACCACTCACAAGTTTTATGTAAGAATACGCATCGTAATTCAATTATAACCGGCGATACACAAAAAGGAACAAGGAATACATAAAAAATGTCAAAAAAGGGAAGAAAGTTAAATCAAACTGTGTGGACTGAATATATTTCACATTTTTATACATACTTGTCTAATAATATAATTCGTTTCAGCCACCAGGGATAGATATCCTATTTATAAATAGGGATCACTTGGATGTCGAAAATTTAGAAGGGATACAATTTTTAATGTTTGCTGTATTTCATTGAGGTAATCGTTACAAAGGTCAAGTTATTAAGTTTCATTTTATAATGAAACCTCGAATTTAGTCATTGTTTTTAACAAACAAACAGTTTAAAAAAATCATAATTGTATAATTAATTTCCACTTAATTCTTTTCAAATATCCCATTCCTTCGTACACAAAATCTGTTTAAAATGAAATAAAAAATATTCTCTTCACGTGTATAGAATTCGTTTAGAGAATAGTTGACTCTTAGATTATTTATATGTCTAGATGGACAGTCAAAGCTGTGAAAGCAGAGGATAAAAAGCGTCCAACCGTTGGCCTCTCAATGCTTTTCCTGCGTTCAGTATCGGAAGTACTGTCACTAGATACGCACAAGTTGCTTTCATATTTTGTGTTATAAAAGTGTGTAGGAATTATAAGGAACGATCTAAATAAAATTAAAGTCACTGTACATCGGTAAGTACCATTGTTTCGTATCTGTTTAAGGTTAAATTATTTCTAAAATAAATTATAATTGTATTGGTAATTTTGTATGTGTTACTAGTTTATGAACTCGAGTCAAAAATACCTTAAAATGTAGTACTAGTAACTCCTTATTCTGTAGTTATGCGTAGTGAATTAGTGATATTCCAAAAGCGATAACATTTAAATAGATATCATTTAAAGGGGTTTTAATTTTAAAGTAAGTAATACTTATTAGTCCCGTTAAGCGATTTTTGGTAGGAGTATAGAGTATTCATGGATTGGTATTCACTGCGATGGTACAGTGGTGGCGTATCCGACTGCAATGCAGAGTGCTCGAGTTCCATTCCCGGGTTGGACAAAATGTTTGTACGATCTGCAATTATTTGTTGTGTGTGTTTAGTTTGTGTTTTCTATGTATATTATGTACGGATTTACAAAAAAATGTTTATGAGTATTCATTCAGGCAATCTAGCTTTCATAGTCACGTGTTGATAAAGACGTTTAGGTACATTTAAGTATTTGTAATCCATATATTATTATTATTATTGTTCCTGAGAGTAAGTATATTTTTATAAATTAAAAATAGATTTAACACATAATCTTTCCTTATTTTAAAGAAAATTTTCAACAACTGTCATCGTTTATGTTTAGGAACACTAGGAAGCAGAATGACGTGACGTGAGTGTAAGACAAAGCTGGCACGCACACTAATATTGAAAACTCCTTACACTGCTTTTTGTTTTTTTACAGCACGAAGCTCCTTCTAGACATATTAATAATCTAAGAGTGGACTATATATTTTCAAATCCGTTATCCTAAAAAAACAAATGTCGAACAATAAATTCATACATTCAATAAATCAATACTTTGTCACTTATCTAATAACTATATTCTATTATATGTAAACAAAAATAACTGTCTCATAACCGCCGCTCAATACGCAAATCATCAAGTTATATTACTCATCTTAATCCTGTGTTAGTTTCATAAAATACAAATTAAAACATTTGGTTCTGATGTGTAATTTATGATAGACAAGTTAGAGCCTGAGAAAAACTATTTGTTACACAAAAAAAAATATGTGTGTACAGTAATTGTCTAGTAAATATCTGGTTACTGTTTTGTCAAGTAAATTCTATTCAAAATTGAATTAGTAACACTGCATTTTATAGAGATCATTCACAAACGCTGGGTCAATATGCGATACCTAAGACATTAATTATTCACCGAGATTTTACAGTGGTTTTGGAACTAAATAGGTTAAACTCATCACCAATAATAGAAAATATAAACAGTTCATAAACAAAAAAATATAATAAACTATTTTCTTTTTTCAACCATTCAAACTTTACATCATTTCCAAACAATAAATGAGAAGTCTGTAAAGCATCTTACACTAGGTCACTAGGTTCAACCACGGTGATCATTAATAAATGTTTTAATAAATTTGACAATATAGACATATAAGCCATCGCGCTACCCAAAATTGGCCATTCAACGTACTGTCGACTCTAGTGTACCACCGTAGTTTCGGTTCCTAAACGACTATAAAAGCAACCTGTAATAATTATGAAAAAAAAAGAATTTATATTTAATTTCAAATTCAAAACGCATTTCAAATCCATTTATCATTTGAGTTCGTTAATTTCGGAATATCTGTTAGTTTATTTTCTTCTGTGTAAAAAATATGAAAAAAAGAAAATGTTTTATGAACATATCAACTTAAATTAACGCTTATCCAAATCTTTGAAAAGTTTATTGACTAGGCGCTTAACTCACATTTTCGTTGCTGTGGAAATTGTGATAAACTCACAATTAGCAAATAGTATAACCATTTTTTTCAATGAAATCGAAATGATCAGAATATTTAACAAAATCGGATGCTGCCCATCAGTAAGATAATTTACAGAGATTTGACGTATGTCAAGCACCTGTTGAACTTGATACTATTTTAAGTAGTATGACAATTCATATTCTATGAACACACTCATACACTAACTCATTGTGAGCTTACTGTCTAAATACAGTTTGTGTCATTCAATGTATCTTCTCACGATTAAAGCAGCGTTCGATTGTCCTATGTCTTCCAATATCAACGCCAATGATTTCGACGTGATGTCATCGCGTGAATCCTGAACAATCAAAAATTCAATTAAACAATCACAGATCGCCACAGTCACATTTCTTTTTGGTGAAGGTTATCAATCTATAAATTGGAAAGGTTGTTTTTGTAGAACTTTTTAGTTCCTAAATCTACTTTTTAGGCGTGGATTATCATCAATCTATCAAAGTACACTAAGGAACGAAGGAGTGCTAACCACCTCTTTTTTGGGCAGTTCGCAATTATCCACTTTCCAGCCAGCCGCATTTCATAAGTCGTCGGCCTATCGTGTCGAAGAGTGGATTATTAACTATTAAAGCGGAAGATGCGATCTACTCATTAGTTACAAAGACATGATTCTCTACAACAATATAGTGTAGTATAAATAAATTATGATCTGAATTTAAACAATTGTTATATTTATTTAATGATCACGATTTTAATTATTAATTAATGGTATTAGTGGTGGGCTCCGATTGCCGCATTTAGACTCAAGGACGGTCTTTTATGCGTCGTGGTGAGGTTGACTAGGTGAGCCTACCCAGCTCCTTCAAGAGCGTAGAAGCCTCCTGGGGTGTTCAAAGGCTTCTAGGAGCGATTTCGTATCAGGTATGATACTTGCCCGTTGTGTGGCCACTCCCGCGCATTCCAGGATTACGTGGGCGGCCGTTTCTTCTGCCTTAAGACATCCTCTGCATAGTGGTCTCTCTGTAGTATGTCGAATTGATGGTGAAAAGATGTCGGTTCAGGCATAGGTGCCCTGTTATCGTTCCAACAACTATTCGGATGTCTAGTCTGTGGAGACTTATCAATATTTTCAGATTGATGAGTCTCCACAGACAGCAGTAACTCAGGGTGAGACTTCGGTCAGCACTATTTTGGACTGCCTGCAGCCGGGTGGATGTGTTTTTCCACCTTCGGTTGTGAGCCTCACGAGTCCTCACCCAGGACTGGAGCTGGATGAAAAGCAGTGACAATAGTGTGGATGGGCCAGCAGCTAGTGTGGCCGAACCCCATCTTACCAGCTCATCTGCGGTGTCAGTCCCGTGTGAATTGCTATGCCCTTTAATCCATTGGAGAAGTACCCAATTTATCGTTCAAATCTTGATGTTGCTCTCCAATGGTTTTAAGACAGCCATACTATCTGAGAGTACTCGGCTTTTATAATCTCTTATGTCCCTTGACATGACTGTTGTGGCGGCGTAAGTTATTGCAACACATTCGCATTGAAAAATAGAAGTGTGTCGGCCTAAGGCTAGTGATAGATTTATGTTTTGGGTCTTGTGGGAAAACTCTGGCTCTAGTTCCTGACCCTATTTTGGAACCTTCCGCATATATCCGGACTTAGTTTAAGCCGGATTGATCTAGATCTTTTCCATATAACTAATTTCGATATCCTTTTGTAAAGATTAAGGTGTTTTTTATGGTTATTTTCGCAGGGGGCTGCTATTAGCGGTTGGTATTCCACATATTAGTCCCATAATTTGGAGTGCGAGCCTTCATAGTTGTGCCAGACCCAAGTGTTTGAGTCGCCATGGCCGCCTTTTCCTGTACGAACAGGTCCAGTGCTGTTAACCCAATAGCCATCTCGACGCCGTCGAAATTCAGACTTTCGGCCGACTCAACTATCAGTTTCTAAAGATGACGCATAGACCATTGTCCGAGATTGTCGCGGTCGAGTGGACAACTCGGCATCTATTTGTTTTAAGGTAGCTGCTCGACCATCGGTCGAGATTTTTTAAGAGAAGAGAACCTAAGCCTGTTCTATGACCTTCAGTGCGGATCTCATTTGATCGCATATAACGGATGTTTAGATCGTCTGCAAAGCCTGCTATGAGGAATCTGCGGTCGTTAAGTTATAAGTTCATTCACTACAATGTTCCATAGAAGGGGGGAAAGTACACCGCCATGAGGGCATCCCCTAGCCACCACACCACTAGTTACGCTGCTTACAGTAAATTGAATAGCCATACGCAGTTAATCCATCCGGAGGTGGGATCGACCCCATATCTCGACATGGCTCGGTTTATGTTTGAACTTGGTTTTGTCAAAGGCACTTTCGATGTCAAAAAAAGTGTCCAGAGTTGACCTTTTAGATTTTAAGTTCTCTTCTACGTATGATACAACTCGATGTAGAGCAGATTCCGTCGATTTGCCCATCGAGTAGACGTAGGTATGTGATTAATACGGTCCTCCCGATTTCCCTATCTATTAGTGTATCCAGAACTTTTAGTAGAAATGATGTGAGACTGATACGTAGGTATGGTTTCGGTTGTGTGTAATCCCTTTTGCCTGGTCGGGGATAAAGACTATTTTGACTTCTTTCCATTCCAAGGGGATATTTCGATTTAATTATTAATATTATTTAATTTTTTATAAACTAAAACAAAGACTACTCGAAATTCTAACTTCTGTTCATAAAATATTTACACTCTTAAATTACACCTCCGTTTTTGAGTTTTTATAGTTGACAAAATAATAATTCAAAGACTCCCGCCTCACCATCATTCATATCGACGGAGTAAGTAATAGACGTGGTTAATAAAGAGAAGAGTATTGACCTTAAGATGGTTGAGCAGAGTGAGCGTGGGGCTGGGCTGCGTGCCGTACCAGTCGAGCAGCGCGTCCAGGCGCAGGCGCCGCGCCAGAGCGCGCCACGCGCCCGCCGCGTCCAGCAGCACCGACACCTCGCGCGCGTACGCGCTCAGCGCCTGCAGGCCCTCCTCGCCCGCCTCCTGGGCCACACACACACGCTACACGATTAATACATACTTAAATCCGAGCTGAAAGAGCTTGTAGGTACATAAATATACTTTTTACAAATATATAAGCTCATATTATACGAGAAACACCGAACAACAAATGAAGATGATGCATATAAATATAATTCTTAGTTCAATAGGCATGATGACAGATTTTGAAATACCTTTCTATAATATAGGTAGACGTCAACTATTTACGAAAATAACATGATTTCAGCAATCAGATGAGTTTTAACGTAAATAATTCCATTTCTTTTCATCTACTTTGAAATTCGCGCGCAAACGCTCTGAAGTGTCATTTCGTCTGCGATGACGTCACGCCTAAGTAATTAAAACATCTGTGCTCAACGAAACAAGTCAACAAAGTGTTATCTACGGGTTTTGTGTGTTAAAAATGAATTCCAAAATTTATAAGTGGTGTGCGGTACCTGATTGCAAAAATACATCAATAGCAACACCTAACAAATTGTTTGTTTATGTTCCAAATAAGAAAAAAATGAGAGATAAGTACATGGCTAAAACTCGCGCGGCGAGATCCAGCAGGTGTAGTTACGAATTCGCCAATTTATTTTTGTGAAGACCACTTTGATGTAAGTATTTGATATAGATTGATAGATATGTAACTCAAAATCATTGTTAGATATGAAATAGTTGAAGTGATTCACAATATAAAAATTGTTAAGGTTATGTTTGTTTTGGTCTGTTATCAATTTCTATATCACATTTCTGTTTTCAGCTACCAAATGACATGGAAAACTACATGCAATATCATATAATGGGGTCAGTATCACAAGTGCGTATGAAACCAGGATGTATTCCCCATAAATTTGACTGCCAACCAGATAGAAAGTCACGAACTTGTAATACCGTAGACCGACCATATATAAGTAAGAAACGAAAGTTGATGGCTCTTGAATAGTGTGAAAAGCAATCGGAAGAAAGTAATATGGTTACAGAACATTTGAATTCAGTGCTTATTGTATTAGTGCTGTTTTGAAAATGTTAGGGCGTTCTTTACTTGCGAGTAAAACCTGTCAAACTGATAGATTACCTCCCTTAAAGAGAATTTTACATATGATATTTAAAACGTTAATAAGGTTAACAATAAATATTAATAAAATGTACTTACAAGGAACTTTTCACATTTCGATATTCAGATGAGCAAAAATCCTTATTTGATGAAAGAAAATCTCCCAACATCAACAAGTCCATCCTGGGCAAATTAGAGCTAATAAAACCTTAATAAAACCTTGTTCCATCGTCGATGATTCTTGGATCTTTTATCTTTATGACAATAACCACGAATAAATCATAAATTAACTAATTAAATAATGCAACAACAACTTAAAAAGTGTAAACACAAACAAAATTCGAAAGATTCTGTGATGTTTACTTAGGCGTGACGTAAATCGCTCTGATTGGTGTTTCAGCTAAGATGGCCGATGCCTATATTTTATACTTTTATTTTATTAAAATCTTATAAATCTGGATGTTTTAATTAAAACTATGTAATTTTGTAGAACCCTTTCAATACATTTTTTAATTTTAAACCATTTATTCTAAAATTCTTTAACACTGTCATCATGCCTATTCTCAATTCTGCTATTTTATGTTCACGCCAAGCCAGTGTCATACCACTGACACGCTATTGAGATGCCATCGAGTGGCCATTGACATCGGTATAACTATCGGTAGTTGAAAATATACTACTTTTTTTGAGGAAATGATTTATTTAATTTTATTATAATAAATTATTAAAATAAAAAAAAATGAAATAAAAAATATTAATATTGTTGAATAAATATAAATTTATACGGTAGACCATAAAGTTTTTAGTTTGTTTTTGTGTGTTGACAACTTTTTACATTTATGTTATATTGTCACCCTTTCTATTGTTTTCTTATAAAAGAATAAAATCGTGTTCGTAACAAAGTAAGAATTCTTACTCGTTATAAATAATTTTACCAAAATAACCAATAGGTTATGGGCATAGGCACATGATAAGTAAATACTAATAATAATTTCAACAAAAACTCGAGTAAAGAGCAAGATTACTACCGGTGAAAAATTTGCCCGTAGTATAATGGAGGTTACGAACACGATGAAAATTGAGAAGTTTGATGGAAGAAATTTCAAACAATGGAAGTTTCAAGTCAAATGTGCATTAAGAGCAAAGGGCTTAAACATAGAAAAGGCAAGACCCTTGGAAGCCAGTTCGCAAGTGCAGTGGGATAAAGATGATGGCATGGCCATGTTCATTTTAACATCGTCCATGGATCTTAACCAAATATCTCTTATAGAAAACTGCGAGACTGCTAAAGAAGTTATGACAAAGTTGGAAGCAATCTATGAACAGAAATCAGAATATAACAAGATGTTAATTCATGAAAAGTTTTATTAATATTCATATAGTGCTAGTGATACGATACACCAGAACTTGCACCTACCGACTATTACTTTTTTTAAATTTAGACAACTTTTTGGTGGGTAAAAAATTCAATTCCCGAGAGGCAGTACAAAATGCCTTTGAAGAGTTTGTTGCCTCCCGTCCAGCTGATTTTTACAAGAAGGGCATCAATAAACTGCCAATGCGTTGGCAAAGATGCGTCGATTGCATGGGTGATTACTTCGAATAACAGAAATAAAAAAGTTTGAAAAAATAAGTACTTTCACTTATTGCATACAAAACGGCAATTTCATAGGTAAAGACCTATTATTAATGCTACATGCAACTTTAATTTTTTTTTGTTAATCATGCCGATTTGTTCCATGATAATTATCTTTACTAGAATCAACCGAGAATAGTTCGTCTCCATTGGCTTTTGCGAGCCCCGAATACTGACTAATCGCTGTTCCCAATTAGAATAGACTCGAGAACCCATCTGAGTTCTCATCCTCGGGGTAAAAAATCAAAGGGCGGGCTTGTATGAAAATCCCTATGTTCTTGTAGATATACACCAAACCAAAGCGTCCAAGATTTCGATACCTGATTATCGTACCGAAAATGATAATATATGGAATACTATATTTCTTCTACTAAAAGGTGTAAAATAAAATAAAAAAAATTATCAATCATAAATCATATTTTAGATGAACGATAGTTATAGTATGCCAAAACCTCCTTTCCCAGGAGAAGCATGTCCAGCAGTGAACTAGTAAAGGATGATGATCAGTTACTTACGCCTTCGTCTGCAGATTCATAATCATCTTCCGGCTCGGACTTAATATCGTCCTCGTCCATAATTTCTCCGGCGACATAGTCCCACAGCACCACTTTCAATTCCAATTTGTTCTTCACCAATCGCCAAGCTGAATCGTTACCATTTTCCGTTTTCATAGGATTTGCCTGAGTAATATATTATTATATTTCTAAAGTAGAATAGCAAAATAAAAAATGATTTAACAGTTATTGGTATAGGTCGGTATAGGTAGAATAATTGAGAGTGGATGAATTCCAATGTTTATGTTAAAATAGACATGCCTTCGAGTTTTCGGTATTACACAATTACATAATTATACTCGTATGTCTCCCAGAAATAACGGACCAGCATTGTATAACTATAAAAATTATATAGTCTTCAAGGACTACGTAAGAGTTCCACAAAATTTAAAATGAAACTAATTTATTTTATTTTTTCTCTGTTTGAGATTTTCACAGCTAGCATTTTAAAAACATAAGATCCGCTTTTAGAAATATATGTGTAGCATCAAATTCGAAGTCAGTAAAGACATAAACCAGCACTTGTAGACAATCAGAATTCCTTGGCAAAAAAAATTTAAGTTTAGAAACACTGATATTATATAAGTCTATTTCATAATGAGATGACCAGATATTGAGATGACGTCTGACCAGCATGGTATAGTACGCCAAAACCTTCTTTCTAAGGAGAGGCCTATGTCCAGCAGTGGACTATTAAAGGCTGTTGATGATGATGATCCATTGCATTTACCTTGTGATCAAGCAACAGTCTCGCAATCATAACTGTATTGTCTCTAACAGTACCACCACAAACAATTTGCAACGCCGTGTTGCCCGAATCGTCTGTAACGTCGATATCCTCCTAAAAAGAAAAAATATATAAATATCATTTTTTTTATCAACATTGAAAGGAAGTCCAAGAATTGTTTAGTAATTTTAAAGATAGTAATAATATTAACTGGACACATGTTATGCGCGGCCATCTAATTCCAAACTAGGCCGCACTACGGTAACCAGACTTAGCAGTCAGTATGTATTAGCATACATAAACATACTTATGTTGCCAAATACATACATATTATAGATAAACTACATCTTACACTACATGAATAAATGATCGTGTTCACATGATGAACCACTAAAAGAAAAAGGTTGGTTACCCCTACAGCTGGCCTAAAGGTCAATAAACGTTTTTCTGCCTGAATTTGGCAGAGTATAGTTCACTCGCATTAATGTGAATTTTGTTAATTAATTATTTATCTCTACAAAACAGTATTTCTATTAAGATTGAAACTTTCAGTTGGATTAGAATTTCACTTTTAACGTTGGTCGGTCACATTTAACATTTTACTTCAATGATTATTTAAAAAAGGCAGAAGAAATAAAACCTTACATTTGGTATGAACTCGAGGAGAATCTTAGTAACTTGGAGGCAATCATCATAAGCGGCGAGATGTAGGGGTGTCCTCCCGTAGTCGTCTCGCACGTCGTAGCTGGCGCCGTGTTGCAGCAACAGCCGAGCGCTGTTCGCCGAGTCCTCTATTACCGCCATGTGCAACGCTGACTGCTTTTCTGAAAATTTATTAGATCATGTATTATCTATTTTTTACCGTATTTAGGTACTCAGGGTAGAGTTAGTAAACTACTTTAAATTATTTTTGATTAATTCCGTGTGAACTCCGTAACCAAACGATATGAGCACTACAGTCATATCCGTATGTCATATGTACATAATTCGTGCTTTCTTTGTGTTTTTACCGTTTTTTTTATATTTATTTTTTCGTTCGTTATATCGTTATATATTCGTTTGTTTGTTCGTTATATGTTATTGTAATATCATTAATACATAGGTAGGTTTTTTATTTTTTTTGTTATAAACTAAAATTTTAATAATAAAATACTTACTGTTATTGTAATCGTTCAAATTGCAAGGCACGTCATTTTTCTTAATAGCCTCTAATAAAGGCTGCAGGCAGGATTTGTACTTGACAGCGTAGTGGATTGCGTTCATATCTTGATCATCTTTTAACATTGGGTTGGCGCCTAAAATAACAAAGTTAATAGCTATTTGTATTTTGTTTGTTAGAAAATTATTATTTACAGACTGATTTACTAGACCCACGCAACTTCATATGCGTCTCTCAAAAATAATCATTTTTCCCCCGTTTTTTGCAACATTTTTCATTGAATCTCCGCTGCTATTGGTCGTGCGTATTAGTATATAACCTTCCTCGATGAATGGGCGTTCAACCAACCAAACAAACAAACTCTTCAGCTTTATGATATTAGTATTAATGCGTTCATTTAAAGAATGTGAATCATTACCTACCTTTAGTTACGAGTAAAGACACAATTTTAGGCATATCGTGGAGGACTGCCAGATGTAACGTTGTCTGTTGTCTGTCGTTAGAACAGTCGAGCAGATGGGTCGCTTTTACATTGTGAATGATCTTCACTATGTACTCCAGGCAGTTCTGATCTGAACACAAACTCATGTGAAGGAACCTGCAATTATAAATATCACCTTAAATAAAATATACTTCATTTTGCATTGGCGGTTATCCTATAATCGTCTATAAATTTAATAATATATGGACTGAAACAGAACTATTACCTTAAACAGAATTATTTAGTAGTACAAAAAACCCTGCTTGTAATAGACATTCCAATAAAATGCATCTCTGTCCACAAATGAATAGCATTCAAAAGTGCTGAATCGGAATTTCACTATGTAAAGATTTTATTGTTCAGTATCATTACTGTTAACGTTAGTATAATAAACAATACTATTACGGTAAACCTTTAAGACTACCATTGTTTTTTATATTAGATCGATCCGATTAGACCTATTTTGGGTTAAAGTTTAGAAACACTTATAAATTAATAAATACTTACGTATCTCCATTAGATAATCGTATGTCGAAAAGCCTTCCCAAGCGACTCCTAACTTCCTGTTTCTTGAAGCCTTTCTTATCTCTAATCATATCACACAAGTCTTTAACCAGCTGTAATTAAAAAAAATCATAATATATTAACGATAGCTTCACTGTAGAGTAAGTTTCTGTTTCATTCAATTGAAGTTCAAATTAAAGAAGCAAAACAAGGCAATGTGTCTTAGCCTACAATTACAGTATTATCCACAAATGAAAAGACATTAAATATTAACGAGTCTGAGCACGGACCAACTACGAATCGTTTCTATCTAAGCACTCGATGATCCGAAGTGGCATTACACACTTAAAACAATAGGCAAACCCACATTTACTTTTATATATTTGGCCAGCTGTCTTAGTTTTAAGACTTGGCTACACGAATATCGTAGTGGTTTAAGCAGTAAGTGCTGACTTTTGTGACTTTGATGCATGTAAGGCATGTGGGGTGCATTACACAAATTGTTGTTCTGACTCTAGGTGTTCGTCGATTCATGAATGTTTGAAAATTCCCGTACGACACAGGATATATTCCTAGTACGGGATTTGTCTTTAAAACACCTTAATCTAACAACAAATTTCCCGACCTTAGCAACGAACCTAGATAGTGACCACACACTCGCAAATAGTATCAATTAAGTTCATCTGATAGGGTTTTTATCAGATATTCCAAAATATGTTTCATTACGATCTTTATTTGCAAAACTTAAATTTATAAACCCTTGATGTTGCCTAACTTTAAAACATTAATAATGAGAAAATAAAGAAATTATGTAGGTATCGTTAACGAAACTTTAATTTTGAATTGAATAATTGAAAAAATATTAAAAAATAATTCATCCAACTATACAAAATCTTGATCGGTCAAAATATTATTTACCCGACCAGCAATTATAGATAATTTTATTCATGCAATGAGACTACTTTCTAGATTAAATGTAATTATTTAACTTTTTAAACTTGAAATATAAATTGTCTCTATTACCTTTTTAACTTCGATGCCGTCCTCTGCTTTATAGAACGCGTTATATTCCGCATTGTTTTCAGTTTTAATTTTCTCACTTAGCGCGAGTTTTGTAGATGTAAGCTTTTGACTACTCTTTTCCTCGGTATCAACCTAAAATAATCAGAACATATGTTTACTGATATACCAGTTAATAAATACGACAGCTGAACTAACTCTGGATAGTGTGTCGAGATTCTTTTCAGCATGTTTAGACTATATTTACCAATACACTTTATTAGTATTGCTTATACTATAAACATACCCTCGGTCGGTATTTAGTAAGATACATATACCTGTAGATAAATCTAAAAAACAAAAACTTATCTATAAAATCTGCTGGTTTAAAATTATGCATATACTACTTTTTTTAAAGGTTTACTAGCAACCGATTTTACTAGTATTCCCGTTATCCCCATCGGCTAACAATAAGCTAAATTGCTTGTGTTAGGAGTGGGTTCACGTCGGTAATGTACTGGTCAGGATTCGAACCCACGACCTCTTGATCGCAAGTCCAATGCCTTAACGACTAGGCTACCGCCGCTTTACTATAATTTACATTACACTTTTTTTGAATCACACATTCAACAACATCAAGGACATCGGCAGCGAGAGAGAAAGGGAGGGGACTTGTGCGACAAGGACGGCACTCCGCTGATCGACGTGAATAGATACATAACCTAATCGCGGTTCTTATATACATTTTTTATTTTATATTATTTTCCTCGCAACGAAAACTCTGTACTAAACCAATGTTATTAACCATTATTTATACAATCCACTCTCGTTATATACCGCCTAACACCAAAGAATTTATATAAACACTTTTGTAATAATTGAGATTTGAAAATGCAGCGGAGTTTTTAGGAATTGAAAGTTGAAGAGTTGTTTCCTTAATAATTAAATAATTTTAATCTGTACATGTTTCAAAGTTCTTTAACTCTTTGTATTTTATGATCATGTTTTATAAGTACGAGTAAGTAGCAGTATTGTTTATACTGTGTCTATAGTGTAGGTACACCTACCTCACGCTTTATCTGGGCCGTTCGACCGGAGTCTGAGACTATGGCTGGCGATGGGCGGAATTCAATACTTTCCAATGCTTTCTGATGAAAAAAAAAGAAACGGACTGATTGATTTATTTCATACAAATAAGATTTTCTTTATTTTTAAATCAAATTCCCATTTATTTTTAATAATAATCAGAGATAATTTCTCTGATTATCATATGTCAGATCTGATTTCAGAGATAATTTGATTTTAAAATTAAATATTATAGCTTTCTATGATTACTAAATTAATCTTTAGAAGTGTATACCGTCTCAAAAAGAACTGGCTGATGTTTTATCTTACAATTAAAAATGAAAAAGTATAGTAAAATTAATCAGTGACAGGAAAATGCATCTTTAGCAAGATTGCCGTCGTAAGTCATTATTTAGTTATGAGACGTTAAATGACCAGTATATTATAATAATTTTAACTTACTTCACCAGGGAACTCTTCGTTGTAGCTTTTCAAATATTCTGCAAACAAATAAAATATATGAGAATTGAAATTATAAGAAACTAAGACATTGCTATGGCAATACAACAACACTATGATGCTACACTATGGCACTGAAATACGGATATCGTAGAACGTAAATAAATAAGTAGTTTGTACAGTAAGAGCAGTTCAGATAAGGGGGGGGGGGGGGGGGGGTGTTACAGAAGGGGAAACAAATGTATAGTTAAGCGATTTATATCATACACCGCGTTTTCACAACAAATCTGAAAAAAAAGAAAGAACAAGAAAAAAGTAAGTAACAAAATTGTAATCTTACCACTAAAAAATTGAGTCATCCCCTCCGATAATTTTCGGCTCTCAGGTTCAATGTTTTGCATTATTTCAAAATCTCCAGAGTTAAGCTGCAAGTCTGTGCTTAACGGATCAGCAGGTCGAAGCACACTATTTATTTGAGACCACATAGGGCTAGATAGAGGCGAATGACTGGGCCCTGGGGCAGCTAATGCGCTACCCATGTCACATTGGCCTGGCGATGTTGCGAATAAGTGCTAAAAACATAGAAAATTATAACCATATTGTTGTTTATATTTTCAAGGTTGACTCCTTAAACCGTAAATGATTCTATAACATACAATTACAAGAGCTATAGTGCAGTCGCGAAGCAGGAACAATTTCTTTTGTGCATCTACCAGAGATCAAAAACAATTTTATTTAAAGTGCAAATCTATAATTTTTTTTAGAATATACATATAAAATATACAGGATATGTGTAATTTAATTTATATTTATGTGTTACCCAGTTACTATGCTATTATGTTAAGTTTATACTAACATACTATCCTCAGGTATACACGAAGTATAGTTCTTAACTGTAATACTAATTATAATTTCTTTTTAGTAAAATTCATGCAATCATTATTTATGCAATATAATAAAATTATTATTTTAGTATTACTTATTTCAGGATCAAATAAAAATTGAGTAACATTCTTATTTGAATGGTATATGAAGAGCAATGAGACGGCAAACCAAATATCCCATGAGCAAAAGCAGAGCTTACGATAACGCTCAAAAGGTTTACAATCTCTACACACAACGGTCATCGCATCGGTGCGAGCGCGACAGCAATTGATTCACAGAGATACTAATAGACAGAGACAGAATAATAAGAAGTCAATGTACGAAATTCGATCTGCTACGCGACCGCACTATAGTGGTTGTCCAGATATATGTATTTACAGAAAAAATATCCCAGAGTATGATTTTTCGCCCAACTGCACCAGAAAGAAGGATATGTTTTTCGAGTGTATATATATATATATTTTTTTTGAGACGCTCTGTGCCCTAAACGGCTTGATGTATTGTAGCTAATATTATGCACTCACCTGATTCATTACATAAGAAGGGAAAGGTGCAGCAGGGACCTCAGACATGCCTCGGTTAATTTGTTCATCTTGATACTAGAAAAAAAGTTACAGTTATTTTTTTATAAGTACTTAAATAAAATTTCCGGCAAAAAATGTATAAATAATTAGGTATTATGTACTTACGTTAACCACTGTTACAGGAATATCACTAGCGCTCTTCAATGATCCACCTGAAAGTAGTAGTATGTATGTATTGATAATTCAAACAATTAAAAACATTGGCTTGACCACTGTCTATGTGAATATTTAATGTATTAAAAGTATTTTTTTCAATGTAAACAAAAATCTTCGGATCAGAACTTATCAATCGATCATTTATTTCGATTGAATCATCGATATTAACGGCAACTCCATATCTTAACAGAAGGCTACTGAAGGTAACGCCGACACCAAATAAAATTAGAAAACGGACCGGAAGATGATGTTGAGGATGCTGATGATGACTATGTTATTCGTAATAATCATAATAATAATAATAATAATTAGTAATCTTAAATCCTAAACTATTTATTATATAATTATACAACTATTAATGTGATTATATTATAAAGTGACTACTGGACTAGATATACTTACTTGAAGAACTACCAATGGAACAGAGTGATGAATTGACCTTTCTTTTCTTGATCTGCTTGTAGGCTTGTTCTGCTTTGTATTTGAAATCTTTGGGTTCGCTCGTGCGACCGTCGGATGGTCTCACCAGTTCTATGTACACCTGGACATCCTCTGGAGTCTTACGATCCTTATAAGGAGGAGTCCTTTAAAAACATAAAAGGTTAAATAATATTTTGAATAGCGCCCCACAACAGTGATTTAACCAGCCAGCTAGCGCCAGCAGAACAGAGAATTGTAGTTAAAAGAAACATCAACTGTATTCTGAGTGCGTCGATAGCTTTAAACATTTAACCGATAATCATATTTAACTAACATAACATAGTTTGCACGTTTTGTTTGCATTATTATTCGCTAGTATTACTTTATATATTTTCAGCTAGTAAAGTGCTTGTAAACCCACACTAATTACTAGATAAACTGTACGGATATGGCGTAGTGGTTTGAGCGGTCACCTCGCCGCTTCCTACAGTGTTGAGCTTTGTGGCTTCGATCCCCATATTAGACTACACTCACAAATTGTTGTTTGGTCTTGTCTGAATCTGGGGGTTTCTTTGTGTACGTTTCATGAATGTTTATAAAGACACGGGATATATTCCTTTTTTAGGGTTCCGTTTTTTTAAAATCTACGTAAATTCTGGGTAGGTACGGAACCCTCGGCGAACGAGTTCGACTCGTACCTGACCGGTTTTTTTTTGAGTTGCCTACACAGAATCAAGGGGGGGGGGGACTCAAGCAAAAATAGACTTTATTAGCAATAAGAACTTTACCAGTTTAGAGTTTACATGCATCCATACTCAGCTAAATGAGACCTATAAGACGAACAGTATCGAAAATATTAAAACAAATTTTGTTAAATACCTGAACACGATGGCGTACTGGTGATGCACATCGCTTTGCATGAACTGACCGACCCCTTCCCAAATCCGCTCCCCAGTCTCATCCACCTCAAAAAAGCGAACCATAATGTTCTCTGAAACAATATAAATTGTGCAATTATAAATTAATATAAGTATAAGATAAATTCTAATTTCAAAAATGTCAGTATTATAGTTCATATTACAGGGTGGCGCAATAGAACGTGCATATTTAAAATATTGATTAGAAAATAAATACAAAAGGTATAGTTAAAATAAAACTGAGGTATTATTAAGAAATAACTGAAGTTTATTTTTTAAAAATAACATCGTCTAAATGATGACCCTCTCTACGACGACACTCCTCTAATCGCAAACGGAAGTTATTGAAAACTTTCTTCAGTAATGCTGGTGTAATTGCTGCCATTTCACCACGGATATTCTCCTTGAGCTGATCGTTGTTTTTCGGATTATTACTGTAGACTTTATTCTTGAGGTATCCCCACAAAAAAAAGTCAGGAGGCGTCACGTCTGGACTACGTGGGGGCCATGGGATATCACCTCTTTTCGAAATCAGTCTGCCAGGGAACATCTGTTTCACAACCGCCATGGAGTCATTTGATGTGTGACAGGTAGCTCCGTCTTGTTGAAACCAAGTCCTAGAATTCACTATTCTTGAATTTTCAAGCTCTGGAGCCAAAAAACCTTCCAACATCGCAACATAGCGTTCGGTATTAACAGTGACGTTTTGCCCCCGCGCATTTTCAAAGAAAAACGGTCCAATTATTCCTCTACCAGAGATTGCTGCCCATACTGTCACTTTAGGACTATGCAGTGGTTTCTGGTGCTTGAGTTTGGGATTCTCACTGTTCCAGTAACGACAATTTTGACGGTTTACGAACCCATTGATATGGAAGTGGGCCTCATCTGAGAAAAGGATATTGTCAAAATTGGAAAATCGATTAAGCATTTCATTAGCAAATGCGAGCCTTGCTCCGAAGTCAGACTCTTTCAATTCTTGTGTTAACTGCAGCTTGTAAGGATGCAGTTTAAGATCCAAGTTTAAAATTCGTTGCAAACTTCGTCGCGATAAGTGTAAGACAGACGATCTCTTACGAGTAGACATTTGTGGATCTCCTCGTACAGACTGCATAACTCTCTCAATATTGTCGTCGGTCCTAGATGTTCTTGGACAACCTTTTGCTTGTGGTTTAAACGTTGAACCAGTCTCTTCAAAACGCTGTACCCATATTTTAATTAAATTAGCACTCGGAGCTTTACTAATTTGCCGTAGTCCATATTCAGAACAATATAAACGCCTAGTAACGATGTATGAACGAGAGTTCTCGTAAAATGCGCGCACGCAAAATGCGCGACGCTTCCCGTCGAAGTGACTCATAGTGACTAAAACTCCATGAGCCCGCCTACCCAACGATGCAGGCTCCCCCCGCCCGCGCACTTTCTACCCCGCGAAAAAAGATGATGCAATATGCACGTTCTATTGCGCCACCCTGTATAACACCAATTAGTCCAGACTAGAATTAATCATTACAACTACAGAACAGGCAGAGTAACATTTATTACAAATAGCACAGATTAAAAAGATTATACATTACATTATACACTCCAATACAGAAGCAAAAATTAATAGGTATAGTAGGTATATTAGACATAAAAATTTAATAATAATCCCTGGTTTTAACTGAAAGGCAAGTATTTATTTCGTTGCCGCTGCGCGAATATCGTAAGGTTCCGAGCTATTGAGATAAAAGACTAGAATTTGATTTACCATTTTCAAAGTATAACATTCATATTATACTCACAAAGTGCTCGACAGAAAAGAAAATGTCGTACTGTTATTTGAATACTGTTTTAACATAATACTAGAACAATTGTAACTATGTCACTATTTACGCTTACTTGTTAAACCACTTCTAATGGCGGCTCTCTCCAGTACTTAATATAGGTCTCTCCTTAAAAAGGCGACTTTGGCTTACTATACTACGCTAGCCAGATGGGTTGGTATAGGGTTTGTATCAAGCTGGTGACGGAGGTGGCTTGTGCGTTGGCAGGAACCCCCCCGTGAGGCCGCTCGCCATGCCACGATGGATCGTTGGTCGTCCCGACTGGAGGTTCCACGTGCTGGCATTGCCGCCGTGGAGGTGCTCCAGCCGATTATCGTCGAATGGGCAGGGCGGCAGCATGGGACCCTTTCTTTCCGACTGACGCAGGACTTTTCCGGGCACGGCTGCTTCTGGAAGTACCTGCACTCGGTCGCTAGGAGGGAACTGAGTCCCGCCTGCCACCACTGCGATTGCAGTGAGGACTCAGCCCAGCACACGCTGGCAATTTGTCCGGCTTGGGGGTCGCAGCGCCGGGTCCTCATTGCATTAATCGGAGGGGACCTCTCGCTACCGGCCGTCATACGCTCCATGGCCGGAACCGGGCGGCAGAGGCGCGCCACCAGCGCCTCATGCCGCCCTGAGTGTGGCTGCGTGTGGACGGGACGGGTTTTTCCCTCCACCCGCCATAATGGCCAGCCGCGAGGAGGTGACGTCCGCGTGTGCCGGACGTCACCTAAATAGAGAATGTGTACCCGAAGTTGGTGCCCGCACAATTGCGGGCAGGCGCTAGGAGGGGTCCGGATGTCTTAATAACAGCAGTTCCCGGATCCCTCCTATTACAGGCCAGAGTAGCACACCGTGTGGTTTTAGTCGGTTTGTGTCAAGCTAAATACTCTTGCTCTTATGTATATTTCATGTAGTTAAACTTTTCTAAGCATGAAAGTGCCGACCATAAAATAAATTCTTAGCACTATTAATGATCAACTTTGTTGTAACATTACTACATTAGTAAGTTACTCGTATGTCATGTCAATTAGGCACGTAGCACTATGCACATACTTGCGTAGCTATTGCTCTGCTGTCTGCGACACTGTAAAGTATCTAGTCAAAGTCTGTCTAAGCAATACGCTAAACAAATGATAATGTTGAGCCATAGGATTAAATGGCTCCAGAATTGTATGGACTGTGGAGGACAGCGCCATCTAGTATCAAGTGAAGTACAACTCTTGTGATTGTTATGAATAATTCTAGGTGGCGCTGCAAGTAATGCTTAACTGATACTGGAATATTCTTATGTGTGTGGAACGGACTATGGAATAATAGGGATCATTCTAGTAAATTCGATAGCGCTATAAAAGCGGAGCGAATTGGCCGTACGACACAGCGAATTAACATCCAAGTGAATTTCTAGTAAGACTAACGAGTTTTATAGTGATTTCTGGCTTGTTATAGTGAGTGTATGTAAACACAGTGTAATAAAGTAATTAACCGACAACTTTTATTTATTGTATACCCCGCTCGTAACAACAATAATATAATAGTCAAGAAGTAATTTTATTTATATTAATTATTAACCCTTAATAAATAAATAAACAAAATATTTGCGTAGTTAATAACTTTAAAACAAATAAAAACAATATTTAGCTACCTGCTATTGTTTGTACCTAACACGGTCGAGCCCGTTAGCCTGGGTTTATTGTTTACGGGCCAATCGATAACATTTACAACATGAGGGTGAATGTACCGATAGTTAAATATTTACTTCCGAATGAGTATATAGTAATATTTTTTGTACTAACTTCTTCGTAACTAAAGCAATGTTTTATAATTCTATCAACTTTTCAAAGAAGTAACAATGAGTCATTGCTGCGAGTAATATAAGAACGCAAAATGAAATATATCTCTACTTTTCACCTTCTTTCTATTATTATAAACATGACAACTTGTTTAACAAGATGCAGTCGTGTTTAGTGTAATTTTGTGATTTTGACATTATTTTTAAATTGATATGCAGAATGGCTGGGTCATCTGATAATTTCGAACCTCGTTGGACAAGCGCAACTGACCCTCAGTACATTATAATCTATTTATATAAAAATGAAATTATCTTAAGAGTGGCTATATACCTATACGTACGTAAAATTGGATAATTCGAAACTGCTACCGGAAAAATTACAATCCGAAAAAAAGAACGATTTATTTACCGTCGGTTTCAACAACAAGACAGTTATAAACATATGTGAAAGGGGTGAGCAGTGTATTAGATGGTGAAACTTTTCACCATATCTTAAAGCGATTTTTCATCCGAGTTATCCAACATACAAAAGCAGTATTTAACCTTATCTTAGTTTCCACTAACACAATCCTCTTATTGTTCTACATCGGATTATGATTATTAAGGAATCAGCTTTTAAGCGGCAAGTACCAGTATTGTAAGCATGAACATTTATAACTACATTGTCTTGACGCGTTCAGAAATAAGTAGGGCTCGGAATTCGAGCGCTGGCGCATGCCGCGAATTTAACAAAGGGCCTAGTGTGAGTTTATTTCACATCTACTCGATCACCACGGTGACCGCGTGCGGCGGCGTTGTAATTGGCCCGCGCTGAAATCTTCTCCAATCGCAACGTCGCAAAGACACGCTTGCCGTCGAGAGCGAGTTGATGTGAAATAAACTGACACTCGCCCTTAGTTTAGAGAACTCGTATACTTCAATGAGCATGCCTGCCATGCAACAATGCAAAGTATATTTTTTTTGCTGAACAGATCTGTTTATATGTAATACACATTTTATTTTAAAAATGTCGGCGGCATCAATTCATTTGCCATTGATACTTGTATATAGGTTTCTAATATTAACTTTGTTATTGAAGGATTGACTTTATGGGCAAACTTGTTACCAGTAAAGGATATTATTTGTAAATATTGAAACTAAACCACTTAAACAACGCTTTAGTGCCTCTTACTCACACTCAAGTATCAAAAGGTACGATTTCATAGTTTATCAACATTTGAATAGACCACTTACGGGGTCTTTAAGATAAACCAGGTATATTTTTTTTAATCTACAGCCTTATGCAAAATCATATGATAAAGTAATATAGTAAAGAGTTTGGATTGGATTGTGTTAAAAATATATCTGTGTACCACAAAAACTCTACTAAATTCGAGTTTAACTTATTTTGTGGAATAGGTAAACGAACACTCGGGTCAACTGATGGTACGTGATTAACCGAACTTTAAGTGTTCCCACCTGGGTGGAAGTGTGGGGTTGGGATGCGGTTACCTCAGTTACTCGGTGAACAGCAATGGTAAGTGCTTAACTGCTGTGCTTAAGTGCTTCTGAAGGCCAAGAATATAGTCCTTTGTCGTATTGCTCCTCTAACGTTATTTGTGAGGTTTCTGATGCATCAGTTTGTGTTACAAGGTTGTTTGTCACAAACACTGGCACGCATATCGAACTGCTTCATCCCTGTTCTAGTTTGGAATATGTTTATAGAACCCAAGTTTTAGGGATGATTGCCTCTCTGATACCGAAGTCTCGTCTAGTGTTTTTTTTAAAATAAAATTCTAACCATAATGTCACAGTTGGTTAGTAGTACGGTATGAATCATCTCGTAGAGACAGAGCACTATGTCTACTGCTCTAACGTGTTTAACTACCTAAAGCGTTATCTTAAATATAAATATGTCGGTTGGTCGCACTCCTCCGAAACAGCTCGACCGATTTTAATGAACTTTTTTTGTAGATGTGATGAGTTATGAGAATAGGTCTTTAAGTATTTTTCAGCCCCGATTTTTCGATTTATTGATGCTTTTAGAAAAAAAAAAGAATTTATATGGTAGAACGACGTTAGTCTGGTCAACTAGTATTGTCATATAACTCTATAAGTAGTTAACATTGTTTATATAAATATAGATGTGCTTACTTTTATTCACCTTCTCCACTAATATGAAGATATCTTCCCCACCGGACGCGCTGCCAGAAGTGCGGCTGATGCGGCATATCTTCAAGTCGTTAGTCGCTGCGCTCTCTAAACATATCCAAATATTTTTATTAGTAACCCACATCCTAACCTTCGTATGGGATTGTTAATTTTAAACGTATAAACATACTTGTACATTTGTAACATAGTAACTTCACGCATACAGGCAGACGCGTTTCAAGCATCCACACGTTGCCAATTATTACTTTAATCGTATAATATGGGACGCGATGTTTGCTATTAACAGGGCAGATTAGGAATAAAAAATTGGAGGCAGGTATAATAAAGGGAGAGGTATATAAGAAAGAAAGGCAATAGTACAAAAAGGGATATTTTTGTCTTTTTACGATTAAAGAAAGAATCGACTTTCTTTTTATAAATAAAATCAAATTTTCTTCGTTCGGATTTTTGCGTTGCCATTCAGCAAAAGACACAGGGTACTTTCCCTTAATTTATGAAAAATAGTTCACGAGAGATTTATTTTATTAGGAGATGTTGTTTCTGCAGGTATACTAATAAGAATTCATGTAGGACGAATGGAAAAGTTTGAACAAAACAGGATTGACATCATCGTGTAATAATTTCTTTACGACAAAACAAACATTTTTCAAGCTTCTTCTTTCCATTTTGGGCTTAGCAGTATCAGTGGCGGATTCAGGATTTTGGTTTGGGAGGGGCTTGACCCTGGTGGGGATAGGTTTTATCAATGAAAAAATAATAAAAAAGCATACAACAACTCAACGCATAACCAGTCTCCTCGGATAACTTTACGCGAATTCTTCAATAACTTCGTTAGGTAGTAGACTTCCAGATATATCGGGTAAATATGTATATTTACCCAGATATATCTGTACAGCCAGGCACTTACTGACCGATTTTTTGTTGTAATAAAAAATCGGTCAGTAAGTGCCTGGCTGTACCTATTATCATACTGCACACCATACAAGCCTTTTCTGTAGCTTTTCCCCACCTTACTAGGTTGGTTTGATCGTTGAGATTTAATTGAAAGGCGTTGAGGCAAAATTTTAATAGGGCAGGTGACCAATCGTATAAAAGTGTGCGGCATTTCAAAGCTGGTGGGATACAAAATTCTCGGTCTATTTTATCACTCAAAGTACCATCATCACGGTAGGCTCGGTAGCCTCTTAACTCAATACTTAAAGGACTAGCTGTACCCTGCTACAGTTTGCTGTTGCATTGATGAGAAAACAAAAATATAATATATAATTTGAACTCAATTGGTGTAGAACTTTTGAGTTTTTGAAGTGTACTCAAACCAACTTAACATTTTTATACAAATATAGATAATTGATGAAAATTGTACTTTAGGTAGTGTAAAACATGCTAAAAAATTTAATATACCTATTACAAAATTTAATTTAAGATTTGTCATGGGACACCTGAGATGCTTTTGGGAAAGCTTGAGCCCCTTAGGCCCTCACCCCTAATCTTATCTAAGTACTTCTTTCTATCTTAGAGTTAAGTAATTTTCATTTTATCCACTGTACATTGCTTAATCTTAAATTAATTGATGGAATAACTTATTCGGATGGATCTAATCTGCTGATGGATGGATCTGATCTAACCTAATCTTTTAATCACATAACATTCATTTGAATCACATATAGCTGTTCTGAAATCTGAATTAACTTAGTGATCGTTCGTTAAGATCATGTTTATAAAATCCCCCGACAGTTAATATTTTCAAGTGCAGAAACAGCTATAACCTCTTTCACGTCAATTACATCAAGTGTTTTGGTATTATATTACATATGACCAATTAGGAGTAATACTTCGAAATCTAGTTCTATGTTTGTATTTACAATGAACAAAACCCTACCCGGTAAAGACGTTACAGTCCATTGCATGATTAATATTGTATAGTTATCACTTAGGAGAGCCGAATTACTTTTGCAATCTTTCCTATTAAACCGTCAAAGTAAATAGTATAAAGTATCGTACCTTAAACTAAGAGATTGCCGGTTTAAATGCCACTTATCTCTTTACACTCTGTAGGTAAACTTTTACATATTTGGACTTTGATACATTTAACTTTTCTTACCACAAATTATTAAAAAAACTACTCACTCATATTGTGTATGGGTTCAGAAAACACCGGAGCGCAAATCTCCTCACCGGTATGGACATCGTGTGCACTGAATTTCAGCCGAACTATGTTTAAATTAATTGTTTTCGCCATGTTTTCACACCTTGTTTGTAGCTAAAATGTAAATATTATATTGAATATACGTACCACAATTTTCACAATAGTACATTTTAATAGGCCAGATTATTTCCTATAAAGTTCATAATATAATATATTATTATGTCATTTGTTTTTAGCTTTCCCGCCCGTTCGTTTAACTCCATGCGCACATATGACTTATCGCGCACAACACACTCGCGCAACTGCCTTAGTCCAACGAAGGACGGAAGTTAGTATAGTAGGTATAGGGACAGCGTCAGCTAAGTCAAGGAAAAATAATTTACGGCCTCGGAGATGTTTTACTGCTAAACAATAGATTTAAAAAAGAATAGATTTTTAGTTAAGGGCGTTGACCACTTTTTACTTTGTTTTCATTCCTTACAAACTGAAAAAAATGTATCTTGTTTTGTAAATGTTGAATAAGTCTCATATTTCTTGCACTTATGCTCAAAGGCCAGTATGATACGTGTACTAGATAGTATGTTTTTTTTTTTGTGTAATTGTGTTACAGGAGGCCATGAGAGACGGATCGTGAATTTTTATTATATGGATTTCTATTACATATTTTAGCTAGTTATTAATTCATTTACTATTAACACTTATATAGTTTCAGTTTCTCTGATGATTTTGCACTAATGTGTGCATATTGAGAAATATACTTTAAAACTTAAACCATGTTTAGCAATTAAGGCTATTCTTTATCACGACTTATATTCAATTGGGATTACATTTAGGCGCCTGTCGTTGTTCCTGGCATAAAAAAGAAACGACGTGACTCTGATTGCATATATTGAGCATTTACCTAGTTGAAATAACTACTATCGCTGCAGTATTTAGATATTATAACTGTGCACCACTTTTCAGTGTATTAGGCACGGCACATATTTTGTAGGTATCTTATCTTTTTCTTCCAAATAGGTGTTTTTTTTTAGTGTAACATGGCTTAATTAATGACATAAAAACTTCTATAAATATATTAAAATAATGTATTAGTACGTAATATTTTTATTTTTCACATCGAGCATGAAACTTACTCTATTATTTACTAAAAACGTAAGAAATACCAGCTTCAATATTTAAAAATACATTAACTTTACAGTTTAATATCGCTTCAAAGCGACAATATTTAAGGCTCTTCAAAATTGAGACTGTTACAAGTTCCTAAATTGCAACGTATAGTTTTTTGCCGTAACTATAATAAATAAAAATGTTTATGGTCGTGGTCCGACCCTTTTAACAGATGTGGAGAAAGTGCGGTAAGAAATAAATACGGGTCATAACACTATAACAATCGCAAGCCATCTGCAGTTAAATATTCAAAACAAAGATTCGTGATAATACTGGTAATATCCATTCATAAGAATCACGAAGTCAAACGAAAAATGCGATTTATTAATAGAATATTTTACAGGAGGTCAAACAAGTTAAGTTTACAACTTTTAAGTACGTACTAGAGTTAGAATAGGTATGTCATTGTTAACATAATCAACAGCTTTTAACAGTGCGCTGTTGGACATAGGCCTCTCCTTAGAAAGGAGGCTTTGGACTAATATACCACGCTGGCCAGTCTGGTCGGCATAGGGTTAGTTTAATGTTTTCTTTCTCTTTGCAGTACTATTGTCCTGCGTAGTTTGGTCCCTTAGTCGGTGCTTACGACACGGGATGAATATGGGTGGTGTCATTCCGTATTCTTAATCCGTCGCCACGGATCTTATGTAATTATATTTTATTTATATTTGCATTATTTGGGTATGTGCAGTCTAAAATTCAAAACATAGAGTCGTAGATAATATTGGTAATATATATTCAAAATGACCACGGACACTAACACAATACGATTTATCAATGGAATACATTACAGGAAGCCTATACGAACAACAATGCCTTATTATACCTAGATATCCAAAAGTCATGGCCTCCTTACAGGATTTTTGGCGGTCTATAACCTATTTAATTTAGAAACTTGTTGTGTGACTACACGAAAATGCACATACACTTATAAAAAATGTATTTTTAATAAATATATTAAATAATATTGTATCCGCTCAATAGCATTGGTTTATTGCTTTTGAATACCATGTTGAGGAAAGAGTAGGTACGTAACATACATAATATTTTATTTTCATATTAACTATTTGAGCTACGAGATACCATTAGTTTATAATTACGATACTATATACTATAGACATTATGAAAGATCAAAACTGAAGACTGCGGCGATCTCAAGAACTGCATTTACAAATGTAATTTAGTGCACACATACGTGTATTAATATGATTTCATACCAGTACAAAACTGGTATAGTTAATACTCATAAAATTCGTTATTATCAACATCCTTTAATAGTCCACTGCCGGAATTAGGCCCCTCCTTAATGGGCTGCTATACCACAAATGTGATTTTACATAAATAAAATAAACCATACTTACATCTCTAATATTGACGTTAGGATTTCTATTTGTCTCTGTAAGTTTCTTCAAAAGAAGTGCTGGTACGTCTTTCTTGGCCGTATGTATTATACCAATACCACCGAACCTTAAAGGAAAGTAAAAAATCATTATTATTTTACAATTTCAATTTAATCGACTTTATTTTTATAAATAAAATCAATATTTTTGATTTATGCGTAGATATACGTATAACTTATCTTATCTACTTCTTTCTATCTTAGAGTTAAGTAATTGTTATTTTATCCACTGTATAGTCAACATATTTCAACCCTGTAATCTATGGTTTTGATGTGGTATCATATCAACATTTTTTGTCCTATCAGGCCAGGCACACTCTGCATTCCAGGTTTAAAGCTACAATTAATTGGCAACCTGGACTGCTGCACGCAGAAAATAACAAGGACTTCACATTCTTGACGATTCCAAAGGACATCAAAAGGAAAATATATGCAACCTAACGAGCCCGTGTTGTGGCCATAAAAGAAAGTTATATAAAACTATATATAAAGAAATACTAATTACTTAGGATGAAAAAATATTCCAAGTAACTATTTTCAGAATTCCTTAGTTTGATATACTTTAACAAAAACAAAGGGAGCAAACTAAGCAGGACAACAGCACTGCAAAGAGAAGGAAAACTTGAAACAAACCCTATACTAACCCGTCTGGCCAGCGTGGTATAGTAGGCCAAAACCTCCTTTCTAAGGAGAGGCCTATGTCCAGCAGTGGACTAGTATAGGCTGTTGATGTGATGATGATGTGTGATGTGAAAAACAAAAATCTATACCGGGCATAATTTAATTAATTAGTAATTAAAAGTGATACTTACGCCACTTTATAGCTCCCTTGTTCAGGCACAAGTTGACTGACATCCCGATCTTGTTCATCTTCTAAAAGTTTGTGAGGATGCTCTTCTGTATTGTTGTGTTGGGCCAAACTACATCTTATTAAAGCCTGCCCAGCGTAATTCCTCAGCTAAGAAAACATCATTTAATTAAAGTTGGTCAGAAAAGAAAAGACGGTTAACAAATATTGTGTTTTCTTTGTTAATAAATCCTGACCAATTACTTCATCGACTCGACTAATATAATTTATTTGGTAGGCGGAGAAAAAACTTACTTAGACAGCAATTGTAATTGATTTTATTAAGATACATATATTAAACCTGGATCTCTTATAGAATTACTCGTGGATCTAATTGTTTTAATTTATATATTTTTAAATATTTTGATTTTTTTTTTTAATTTATTTTTTTATAAAAGGCTTGCTAGCAACCAAAATCACTAGTATTCCCGTTAACCCCTGCAGCTAAGCTAAATAAGCAATTTAGCAATCTGTGTTAGGAGTGGGTTCACGTCGGTAGTCTAGATCGCAAGTCCAATGCCTTAACCACTAAGCTACCGCCGCTTGTACATATAAAACATTAGGCACAAAATATACATTGGCGGACTTAATAAACAATTATTATCGGACATTCTCTACCAGTCTAACGGGTAGTATGGAAATGTGCACTATACAGAACTCCAATGACTTTTTTTTAAAGAATCAAAAGTTTAAGAAACATTACCTTGCAAGAAAAGAGAAGAGAAGAAATGGGGAAAAATTTTTGCTAAAAAATTTATCTGAACCGATTAAGTTGAGGTACACATATGATTTTCTGTGACGAAAACACAAATGTGTAACCATTCTCTCTGTGTTACTTCAAATAAAGTGTTCAAAAGATTAATTGAGAAAAATGATTATTTAATTAATCCTTTTAAAAGAAAAGTTGAACCGAAAGTTCAAACAAAACTGACAAAGAGCAGAAAAAATTCAAAAGAATTACAAATCTAAGTAAAAAAGCTATAATAAGTACCATTATAATAGCAATAGCTAGCCTTCTAGTCTGTTTGAAGTCGGTGCCAAGCCAAATAGGTGCTTGATAGGCTTTGTATAATGTAACGCGGCAACTGCAACAGTCTTCATGCTGCGTAAAACATGCTGAACGAGCTAAAGTGGGTTACGCACATCTCCAATGATTTATTATTTTTAATGATTTATTAAGTACTTAGTTGATAAGTTTGCGCACGTAATTGATCTGGTTGGTCTTTATTAATTAATAAAATCTGCGATGTTTCATTTGAATTATATTGAATTCTTAATTTTTATTGTACTAATGTAAAATACACCGTTATTACTTATTGTGCATCGGGCTTGGCACCGACTTCACACAGACTAGAAGGAACTATTGCTTTGATAATATTACCTGCTATATTGAGGGTATTGCTATATTATAGTTTTTTACTTAGATTTTTAATTATTGTTTTATTTTTAGTGCTCTTTGTCAGTATTGTTTAAAGTCGGTTTAACTTTTTTTTAAAAGGATTTATATTACCATTTTTAGTATAAAACATGTTTGTAATGAGTTAAATACCGTACTTATCTAAACACTACGTACCGTAATGTATAGTACCAAACTGTAGTATGTTAGATTACATTAAATATAGTTTAATAAGTCCGTTACTTTATTTAGATAAGGTAGTTGGATGTTACATTTGAACCCAAAAATATATTGTCTTCCACATTACTTAATTTTACAAAACTAGGTGTGGTATTTATTCTTCACGTTTGGATGAGACTTAAAAAACTAATCGGATTACAAATGGAAGAGTTTTGAGATAACAAACATGAAATTAATTGCGTAACAAACTTTTTTTTGTCTTAATGTTTTTTAATCTCATATATTACTATTTTGTGTACATATCTCTGTAACCCAATTCAGGCACCTAACAAAAATCTTGAAAGAAAAAAACAAGGTCAATACATGATTAGATTTTTGAAAGAGTTATCCTCTAACTTCTTAAGGGCCAAGGACCCTTCCATCATCAGATCAGCAACATGACACAACGACTACTAAACACAAGTACCTATTTAGCTAGACAAACAAACTAAAACACGTTGTCGGACCTGTAAAATTTGAGGGATTCCCTCGATTTCTTTAGGACGTCGGGAGTATACCCTTTCAATTTCAAAAAGAAGTTTAAAATAAAATAAAAAAGATTTTTTAACAAACATTTTGTGTTTTTAAAGTCGGTTAAAAAGAGATATATGTAGGAGAAAATAAGCCTGTTTTGCTTCTACAAATCATAGCTCATTATGCTAATAATATTCTTAGCCTAATAATACCAACTTACCTCGACAGTTGGATGTGTTTTCGTTTTATTGGTGCCATAGGATTTGCCGAGAAGGCACCCATGCGTTCCGATCATCTCACTGACATATCGGAACCGAAAGTGATTCTGAGGCTGCTCAATAATTTGCAACATCGGTTGCATACCTGGGTACAAAACAACATTTAGCTCAGTTAATGGTTGCAATAATAATCAAATTGTCTTAATGTTGAATCGTCATGTTCTGGCTTACACTTTTAACAAAAGCAGCAGTTCAGTTATGAGCTTAGTGTTAAAGACTCAGATACATATTTATATGATCTGAGTTGGAACATCTGAGACGTGCTAGTGTAGCGAGTAGAATTACCATATATCCAAAGAAACTCTTCTTTGCGTTGCTACGTTGCTAGATGTACAATAGAATGTTTGGTTCATCAAAATTACTTGTCCTGATTGACTGTTTCATCAACGCGAAGCCTAAACCGGTGAGGCTATAAACACCTTGCAATTTTGGCAGCTAATAATTTTTATGTGGTAAGCACACAGTCAGAAAGGATTATTGAAAATTTCACGTCTAAGGCGGTTAAAACAGGAATAAACGGTTGTGTGGAGGTTCATCATTTTCAAAGTTAGAGTGGGAAAGTTTGAAAGACAATATTAGAAAACAAGCCGCGGGCAATAGATAGTTTGTAATAAATTAAAACTGAAATATTTACTTAGCAAACATTATGATAGTGTGCTCGCTGTTAAAGTCCGTATATTACTACGAAAACCAAAATCGCTTTCCCAATGCCCAACACAATTGACTGGCACAACTAAATAATAAAATATTTGCAAGTAATTTTTTTACACATAACCTTACACGTTATCCTAGAATGTAGATGCGTACCAAAAATCCACATTTTGCCAATATAATTTGATTCTACTGCACTATAGGCAGCAAGCCTATTACCGCTAATCGGGCATTTTGAGAATTATAAAAATGGAAACATGGTGAGAATATATTGCAAAAGGCAGGTAAGAGGAAAAGGCAATGGATAGAAAAATATATTTCTTTTATGGATATAATAAAGAGAGAGAATAAGCTCGAGAACGTCAGGCTTGTATTCCTATTACTCAAACTGTCTATTGCCTTTCCTTCTAGACTTCTGACCTCTTGACTAACATCCTATTGTAGAATATGGTTCTGCAAAGTCTCATTCTGTAAGACTCCTAAAAAAACATAATTACAGTTTTCAGTCTACAGCAAAAATAATGACGAGAGAATTAAACCTTACCATTTCCTGTATTATTAAACTTTTTAAGATTCGGACTTTTTAGAATCTCATTCAAAGGATCAACAACGTTATAAATCATAAGAGACGGAGAATTAAAAAAAAATAGGCACGAAATCCTATGTATTTTTATTTCTATCGTTTTGGGAGTGAATAGGTATTTTAGTTGCGAACTCTATGGGTGTCTAGTAAAAGAAGATCATTTAATTTTGACCGCTCAAAAACAAACTAAATGAAAAACGTGTACAATAACAACATGTGGTACTCGTATTTAAATATTGAGAAATGACAATAATATAAAAAAAACGTTTTATAAGGTTTAGAAAAGTTTTAATTTAAAAGAAATCACGGATCTCTTAATTTTTTGAATCGCTGATCTTCATCAGAACACTATTTCTAATTCTAAATTCAGAAACTTAAATTCGTCAGAAATAGAAAATAGGTTCAACATGTGTATGTGTAGTCTAACAAGCTTTACTTACTAAAAATGTGGTTTATATTAGAAAATAAAGTTATATTTATACAAATTAAATAAACAATAATAAGTAGGGGTGCATACCTAATTACTTGCTACTGATCGGCCCAATTACGCAACAGACGAAGCCTAAGCTCGAATTAACCTAAGGCTATACAGTGAAGCACCACCTCCTCGTATTTATATAACAATATTTGCGCATATAGTCATTTCACAAAATTTTGTGCTATCTACATCCCACCAACCAACAGGTACACAGTACCCCTCCTACTCCACATTAGGAAGCTCCGCCCTAAAAGCAGTGTTGCAACATTTAAATGAACTCCCTACCAGATTCAACATCTAAAACCACCAGAAAACCACTTATACGTATAGTCTCTGAACTTAACATCGGCATTGAAATTAGGCAGTATTAAGAGAGTAATACCAAAGATCCTACCTACCTACCAAGGGTCCTGAGTAATACCTAATTCCTCAAATGTCGAAGTCCCTTGGCCCCTTGGGCATGTTTGAAGAAAAGTACTTCTAGACTGTGGAAGTTTCAATGGTTTAAATGATATTAATATTCATTACTCTTCAGCTACTCAACCGGATCATTAAACGTAGAGTCGGACCTTGAATTATATCGCTAGTCTGCCCAGACCCAATATTGCCAACTTTGAATTTTCGCCTGAAAATCATCAAAAACATCAAAAAAATCATCCTGTCTGTATACAGACAGGATGATTTTTTTGATGTATTATACAGGATGATTTTTTTTTTGATGCGTTACATAAACGCAATGGTTTGCAAGCCATAGGATGATAGTTACCATTTTGGGTACCATACTTCCTCGACATTATTGGCTTCTTTCTCGACTCCGAAACCTTTTCCTATCTCTGGCACAAAGCCTACATCATCTCATTGCCTAAAATCAATAATCCTTTCTTCCCGAGTACTTCTATCCAATCCCCATCCTTCCTTTCCTATCAAACGTTCTAGAGGTTTACGTACACAAACAGTTCTCATAGTTCATCTTTTAACAGCATCCCTAAGTCCTCTACACACAAACCACTAAAAAAATCCACTAGCCACTAAAAGCTAAATTTCGCCACCAAAAGGGGGGTCGAGACTACCAGTTTTAATGGAAAATCCACTAGGTTGGCAACACTGCCTAAAAGTGAAGAGTGCGGCTTAGTCGGTTCTTCGCCACTGCCTACGACCTCCATTAAAGATTAAAACCAAATCGTAAACGCAAAACTTTATTGCATTTTGCCAGAGTCTTTTGAAAGAACAATGGCGGGTCTCCGCGTCTCCATACAAAAAAATATTCGGATTCAAATTGCATCATCTTGTAGTGAAAAAATATAAAAAAAATTTTTAGGCTTTTTTTAGAAGCTATGTATAACACAACTTTTGTTTGGGAAAGACTAGGAAAAAGATATTACCTAGCATTTGATTTTTTAAGTAGCGCACTGAATCTTTTTTTTATAAAAGAGGCTTAACTAGTAATAACTGCATAATGTTTTCTTTATTTTAGCAATTTATCTATGGCTATCGTAATTGGTTTTTGTATTTTTTAGATAATTATAAATGTGTGTGCCATTTAAATAAAATAAAAAAAAGAAAAGAATTTTTAGTCTCCACTAGCTGTAGAACTTTCGAAGGTTACATTTTTATGTCATTTTTTTTAGCAAAAAAATAAAAATAAAGTGGCAACTGCATTGCCACTTTATTTCTTTTTTACTTCCGCATATTCCACTACAGGATTTTCAAATACGTAAATAATGCGTTTAATAATGCACCACAAACTACATTCTTTATTAATTCAGTACTTAGAATTATAATTTTTTTATCTGATTATCATATTAGTATTAAGTGATTACCATATTACGACACTTTATTGGACAGTATTTCCACTACTTGAAAAAAAATGGTTTTAAAATGGTGACACTAAACTGATAAAGGAAATTAAAATAATCAAATAAGCTTATAATTTTTTTTTTCCTAGGGTTTCACTGACTTAGAAGTTAGTTTAAAAAAAACCTAGATATTTACTAGAATTAGTTTCGTTGCGCTTCTGGAAGGAGCTTGGCTAGCTCACCTAGTCAACCAATCCTCGACGCATAAAGGACCACTCTGAGTCTAAATGCGGAAACCGAAGCCCACAACCAACAACCAATAGAATGAGATTCCTATGAATGACATTTTAAGACGCTCAAATTATATTCAACTACGAATTCGCCAAAGTTCTTTGTAAAAATATGAATAAAAATTAAATAAAAAATTTAAAAAAAACCCCCAACACACATCTTGGATTTAAAATTTCTCATAGTGGCGGCCATCTTGGACCGATTTTCATCAAACATAGCTAAGATCACTACCGACTAATTTACCTTTCAAACAAAACAAAACATAATCAAAATCGGTTAAAAAAACCATAAATAAAAGAGACTTCTGTCCAAATAGAATAAAAATCCATTTCAAGGACAGTATTTCTGAATACCAATTTGGATTCAGAGAGCACCATGGTACTTTAAAACAAATACACCACATTGTAAAGGCTATAAACAGAAACCTCAATATTAAACAATATTGCTCTACTGTCTGCCTGGATATCAATCAAGCTTTCAACAATGTCTGGCCTGAGGTCAGAGACAGCTCAATAAAAAAAGCTGAGTCATTCTAAGCTTCTCAGCAACTCCTCGGAGCACTTTTATATATAAAAGTCATAGTAAATGCAAAGTCCACTTTTAGTGTACACTAACAAAAACAAATGAAAATTGTCTTACATAATTGTAGCACTGAAGCAACTACAAGCTTGGCAATCATTATGCTTAGACTCCATTGGGTGTTCATTCTTTGAACCTATCTTGCGAGAACATACTAAATAAGTGTCATATTGAATAAAGAGGTTAACATACTGTATGCGTCTGTATCATCTATGTTAAAACATTGACTTTGGCTAGAATTTTGAAATTCTGTGGAACCTCACCTAAGAAAAAAGGTATTTTCCATTTTGCTTTTTAATAACCATGCTTAATAACACTAAAGTCATGTATTTGCAGGACAACTTGACAAAGGATTTCATACAGAGCTGTGATAAAGCCAACAAGACCTTGCAGAAATGAAAGGTTTTGAAAATTTAAACACTGTTTAAAATTGCATTACAGTTATATTTAACACTAGCTGGGGCCCGCGACTTTGAAAAGCGCTGCCTTAGAGGATTGGATTCCCCGACCAGGTAAAACATTATCAAAATCGGTCAAGCCGTTTTGAAGATTACTTGGAACAAACAAACAGACTGACAGACAGACAGACAGACCAAAAATATTTAAATTTAAATAGGTATTGTGCAAATAACCATGTGAGCATGAAAACAATCATTATTTTGACATTACAAACACTCTTGACACTTCAATTTTATTTATTTGTTTAGACTAGCTGGTACCTGCAACTTCGTTTGCATGGAATTTGGTAAGCGTTGCCTTAGTGGGGTAGTATGGTATGCGACGAGTCCATGTGAGGCATCTGGTTCGATTCCTGGACCTCGCAAAATTTTATAGGGTTTTTCTAAGAGGAAAAATAGCCTAAGGTACTCCTTATATAGACAGCTATGTAGTAGTAAAGTATTATCAAAATCGGTAAAGTTGTTTTGAAGATTATCTGGGAAACTAAGAGGGCTCAAGGCAGATTACAAATATAACAAAATATTCATTCTCTATAGAAGGCTTATGTATATAATTAAATTATGTTAATAAAGCATTTGACAAACTATAAATAACATCCCAGTAATTGATAAGAACTATTGTTTTACTGGGGTTTTACGTGACACATCATGGGCTAAAATTATGTCCTATAATTCATTATTATGTTAAATATATTTCTTTTTTACTGTTATATGGGGGTGATGTGTCACCTGATAGTAAGTGGCTACCATTGTCCATGGACAGGTGCAACTTAAGAGTTACAAGTGCACCATGAGCGCCATCCAGAATTAGGCAGGGAGGGTTGAACATTTAGTTGTCATGTACAGGAAATAAGGTAAATTTTTCCACAATCAATGAATGAAATAAACTAAGAAAAGAAACAGAATTCAAGAAAAACTTTATTTAATGATTTATATATCAATTAAGTTGTAATTGAATGAAATACACTTAATATAACTAATTTGTTAATAAGGCATTTCAAAATACATTAGTCAAATTATAACCTACTAGCTGTACCTGTTTGGCGTACTGTGATTGCATTGCATTGATGAGAAACAAGGAACAAAACTAACAAGAAAATTAGATAAAAACTATCTTTGAAGACAGTTGTTTATTGTGTCAAATTTTGAGCTCAATTGGTGCACAACTTTTTGAGTTTTTGAAGCATATACAAACTAACTCAACATTTCTATACTTACATGTATTGATTACATTACAATATTTAAGAAAGAATATTACAGGTATATAATGTTTGTAGAAATTAGAACTAATTTTCTTTTAATTCAATAGGTATATGTAAATCTGTTACCAACTATCATTTTTAGAAGTGTAATAAATTGGAAACATATTTAGTACCTAAACATTTGTTTTCGATAGTTAACTGTATTCAATTGATATCTTACATTTATAAAGCATGGGGCTATAGTATTGACACAATAACATAAAATAACCTAGGTGGCCCACCTCAAGCTTCTAAATCTAACTAAAAGAAATTGTATACACAACAACAACGCAATTCTAGGAAACCGTTCTTATCAGTAAATAAAAAACAAAGATATCATTCATTGTACATACCGACTAGAAACTGCCTTCTATTGTCTGCACAAGACAGTTCAGTTAAATCTGTGGTCAATTGTGGCACTTGTTGCGATGGAGAATTGTAAGGAGAATATCTCATGTAAGATGTTCCAGAGCTGGAGGAATCACTCATTTCGTGATCGCTAGGACTCGAAGACATGGTTAAGGTCACTTTAGTTTAACCACAACTTGGACACATAAATAGCACTAACATTAATATGTTTTGAAATTAGTTTACTATTTGTTTGACACATAACACTTATTAGGATATGTTTGATTAAGACACGCGAATCAAGAACACGAGACGGACAAACACTATGTTATTTTGCAACTTTACATCAGAAACTGACAGCACTGTGAAGTTGCTATGTTAAGGCAGGAATAACCCTAGAAGTTATTTTTTACTTTTAATTGGAACAAATTGGTATATTTAAATACAAGAACAAACCATACAGAAGGATATTTAAAGTTATACTGCTAAGCTTATAGAGTAAAATATTTTGAATAGTTAAATTTTATACCTTAAATAATTGTCACTCTGGTACAAATAAAAAATTAACAAATATATTAACATACAACATACAAAACAAAAATAATGTTACTTTCCATTTACAGTTGATAAATAATATAATATTGAATTACATACCTTAATTGATTAAAGCAAACAAGCAAAACGACTAGGATTTAAACGAATTTTTGGATGATTCATTAACAGTGGTCTCGATCTACATCAACTGATTATCCTAAGTTTTGAAAATCAGTGCGATTTGGAAGTTTGAAATCAAGCAATCTCTTGCGACATGAAAAAAATTCTTTAACATAAATAATATTACCCCGGAGTCAGGGAAAATTCTAACAGTAGTAACTTTATAAACAGAAGAACGGTGACGTTATCAATAAGAAACTGGGGGAAGAACCAGTACAATGAGTCATAAAAATCCCCGAGTACACACACACACGTATTTGTTTTTGTAAATTGCCAAGCTATATGTACCTGTTTATTGCGATTTGAGAGTACGTATTGTATATTATAATCATCACACAAAGTCTTCGCAGGCTATTGTAATGGGTTTGTATGACCATGCAACTTGAGGAGGATAAATTCGGTCTGTTCACTAATGAGGAAGTTATGCTATAATGAATATAGATAACCTAAACTTCTTAGTTCAAAAACTGCTTGAAAGATAGTCGTGTCCGGTATTGCGTAGTAAAGACAGTTACTCGTTGTAAGTGTTAACAAATTTCCATATTTAATCTTATTTAAAATAAAAGCACATTTACTTAAAATTCGCACTTAAAAAAGCACGTAAGTTTGGACATGGTATTGGTATTGGTTGTGGGCTTCGGTTTCCGCATTTAGACTCAGACTGGTCCTTTATGCGTCGAGGATTGGTTGACTAGGTGAGCCAGCCAAGCTCCTTCCAGAAGCGCAGAAGCCTCCTGGGGCGTTCACAGGCTTCTAGGAGCGACTTTATATCAGGAATGATACTTGCCCGTTGTGTGGCCACTCCCTCGCATTCCAGGACTACGTGGACGGCCGTTTCTTCAGCTTCCAGATATCCCCTGCACAGGGGACTGTACGTCGCATTGATTATGAATAGTTGTCGGTTCAGGGCTAGATGTCCTGTAATAGTTCCGACAACCATTCTGATTTACGGTCTGCTAAGACTGATCAGTCTGCAGGTGAGTCGTGGTGTGACTTGATTCAGCACCAGTTTGGACTGTCTCGAGCCGGGTGAGTTTTGCCACCTCCGGTTGTGTGCTTAACAGGTCCGTTGCCTGACCCAGCATCGTATTTGGTTAAACGATATGGGCAGGAGTGGGGTTGGGCCAGAGGTTGGGGTTGCCGAGCCCGTCCTTGCCAACTCATCTGCGGCATCGTTCCCGTGTGAGTTACTGTGCCCTTTAATCCATTGGAGGAGTACCCCATTGAATATAGCGAGCTGTTACAGTGCTTGGTGGCATTCGAAGACAATACCAGAGGTCATTGTGTTGCCCTCCAATGCCTTTAAGACGGCCATGCTGTCGGATATTATTCGGATGTTGTAGTCCTTGATACCCCTTGACATGGCCGTTGTGGCAGCGTAAGTTATTGCCACACATTCACATTGAAATATGGAACTGTGTTGACCTAAAGCTAGTGATATGTTTATATTTAGGTCTTGCGACAAAACTCCGGCTCCAGTTCTTGACCTAGTCTTGGAACCGTCCGTGTAAATTCGGACTTCGTTAATGCCGGATTGATCTCGGTCATTTCCATGTATCTGGATGTAGTATCTTCTTGTGAAGATATGGTGTTTTGGGATTCTATCGCATGGAGCTGCTATCAGTGGTTCGTATTCCACCAATTGATCCCATAATTTGGAGTGCGATCCCTCACTTTGCCATAGACCTAGGTGTTTGAGTCTAATGATCGCCATGGCGGCCTCCTGCTGTATGAATAGATCCAGGGGTGGCAGACCAAGAGCCACCTCCAGTGCGGCAGTAGGCGTTGTGCGCATACAGCCAGTGACCGCGGAGCATGGGAGTCGCTGGAATTGCTGCAGTTTGTTTATGACAGTGCTTAGCTCTGTTCTCTGCCACCAGACAACAGCACCGTAAGTGATTATTGGTCTTATGACTGTCCTGTATAGCCATAAAGTAATTTTGGGTGATAGTCCCCAGCTTTTGCCGAGTAGCCGCTTGCATTGGCAGAAAATAATGCAGGCTTTATTCAGTTTTTCATCGAGGTGCTTATTCCACAGGAGTTTACTGTCCAGTATTACTCCTAGGTATTTGACCTCTTTGGTAAGAGTAAGTTGTGTTCCAAATAGCTTGGGAAGTCTGAGATTTCCTAGGCTGCGTTTGTTTGTGAACATGATCATCTCTGTTTTGGATGGGTTCACTGTCAGGTTGTGTGCTACGCACCATTGTTCCACGATCTTCAGTGCAAGTCTCATTTGATCGCATGTAGTGCTCTCAAAAGGACCGCTGATGAGAATAGTAAGATCGTCTGCATAGCCTATTGTGAGGAATCTTTGGTCATTAAGTTGTGAGATGAGCTCATCCACAACAATGTTCCATAGAAGGGGGGAGAGTACACCGCCCTGGGGGCAACCTCTAGCCACCACTCCTCTAGTCACTTCGCTCACAGTGAATTGAATAGCTCTATATCTTAGCATGCTGTCGATCCACCCTGAGATTGTGGAATCAACACCATGCCTAGACAGAGCTTGGCTAATGCTGGTGACGTTGGTCTTGTCAAAGGCTCCCTCGATATCGATAAAGGTGGCCAGTGTTGACCTTTTATGATTTAGATTGTCTTCTATATATGAAACAACTCGATGTAGGGCAGATTCTGTTGATATACCCATCGAGTATGCGTGTTGATTGAGGTGTAGAGGGTGACTGACTAACGCAGTTTCCCTGATTTCCCTATCTATTAGCCTCTCGAGAACCTTTAGTAGGAAAGATGTGAGACTAATAGGTCGGTGTGATTTGGGTTGTGTGTAGTCACCTTTACCAGGTTTGGGGATGAAGACTACTTTAACTTCTCTCCATTTCAAGGGGATGTACTGATGCGCCAGGCAGCCCCTATAAATTTTTACAAGATGGTCCAGTAGTGTCATATCACACCATCTCAGTAGGCCTGGGAAGACACCATCTAGTCCTGGCGCCTTGAATGGTAGGAAGCTGTTAATTGCCCATCTTAGTTTGTCATGGTTGACAACTTCGCGGGCCGTATCCCAGTCTGTATCATCTGGTGGTTTTTCCCATCTGTCTTCCCATTTCTCCATCACATCTGACATGCGACATCCAGGGAAGTGTGTTTTTAATAACAACTCTGAGGCTTCCGAGTCTGTTTTGGTATACTCACCATCAGGCTTCTTCAGTGAGCCAAGATTGTGTTCGCCTCTACTACACAGTATGCTTTTGACTCTATTAGCCTGGTTGTTGTTCTCTATGTTAGTACAGAAGTTTCTCCAGCACTCAGTTTTCCTGGTTCTGATTCTCTTCTTATATTACCTGCCTGCGTGTAGGCATCCCAATGTTGGTCTAATCGCGAGTTTTTTGCTTTATTGAACAACTTTCTCACTTTACGACGTAGTCTTTCCAGTTCCGGACCCCACCATTGGTGTTTGTTGTGGTGGTGTTCAGTTCTGGGTGTGGAAAGTGGGCATGTTTGTTTAAAGCAATCGATCAGTGTCTGTGTAAGGTTGACAACATGACTGTCAATGTCCTTAACAGTCCCCGTAGCGTATGTTGGGTTGATGCTTCGCAGATTCTCCGCAGTAAGATGTTCATACCGTTTCCGGTCCATCGTGCGGGGATTCCGTCGGGGATCGGGTAGTTTAAGTTTCATTTCAAAGTTAAATTTGATCCAGCGATGGTCTGGGCACGATGCTTCGTTAGAAACATGCCAGTTCGATATGTGTTGCGATGCGTGCTCACTTGCTAATGTAAGATCAATTATAGTTTGGGCCCTGGATGTGACAAATGTCGGCTCCGAGCCCACGTTGATAATGTTAAGGTTAGTTGATAATAGGAACGATACAAATTCCTCACCTCTCCGGTTGTTGCTCCTGCTGCCCCACAGCGCATGGTGCGCGTTGGTGTCGGCAGAGATGATCAGCTCCAGACCCTCGCGCTCGCAGTGGTGTGCCAGCGCAGCCAGCTCCGGAGTGGGGATGTCAGGATCGCCCGGCAAGTAGGCTGATGCTATCACCACGTCAGGCAGGTTTGATGAGGGTTCCTTTAACCTAATAGAGGTAAGGTCTCTGGAACAGAACTCGGTCATTAAGGTAGTACACGCGTTTGGACATGGTTTAGCACATATGGCCCGGCAAGAACACCTTTAGTAAAAAACAGCGTGAAGCTTCGATGCTTTTCTTTTTTTTAAGGTTATCGGAGGCCCAACCTCTCTTTAGTTATGGAAGGAGGGGCAATTATATGTCTATTTTGTACGTATATACACTATATATTTTTATGCAGGGTTACTGGGTAAGTCGACCTAAGTAAATACTTTAAGGCAGCCTTTCCCAAAGTGGGCGAATTGTACTTAAAAAAAGGGGGCGTTGTGTAGGGGCTTGGGGGCGATTTGTAATTTCATCTAGCAAGGAGGACTCTTAGACACCGACTGAGCTCTCGACTTTCTACTACAACTTGTGAACATCAACTAAT